ATCCCTGTCAGAGATGGAAGCTGCAGATACATCAAGTCCTCTGCATTCACCAACTTTAGGAATTTACATGAGGTGCATGTAGGAAGATAAATAAAGGCTGTGTTTGCAGAAATGAAGCCAGTCTGCAGTACCAGTACGACTCAGTGAAGCGGTTTGCATAAAGTCATGTGTAGGCAGATCAAATGATTCAGTCAGCCGAGGCAGCATCAAGCGAGACCCCACAGAAAAGAGACCCTTGGTGGCCTAGGTTAGATGGACTGAGGTGGTCCCTAATTTTACAGGCTTCATGCCCAAGCTGCAGTTCTGGACGGTCCTTCCTCAGCATCGATGTGTCGGAAGAAGAGGATTTGTATTGTGATAAAGACTCCTAAAGCACCTTGTGGGCTTTTCTTACTTCATTGCTCTTGTAAACACCCCTTCTGTTTCTGCAAAGCGTCTTCTCTCATGAAACTGGAATCATCTACACTGAAGGGAGGAAAGGCTGGACAGCCCTGAATGACAAGTAAACCAATTTAGGTTGTAGGATTCACATGTTCTTTGGTAAATTGGAATTCCAGGTTGTATCTGTCACCCCAATCCAACAGAAAGGTCCAATTTGCCTCCAGGAAAGGTTGTGGTGAATTATGATTGACTAGCCAGAGCCTGACATTCAGGTACTCTCATGTTTACCATTATTTCTTTGTTTTCAGATGAGTCCATGCACACATGCATGTATATAATGGAGGAAGTAATGCAGGAAGATACTGGGAGATTCTCTCTCTCTACACGCATATGAAAAAGGACCTGACTTCTCATGGGTTGGCATGGCTCTCCTCACCTGATACTTACAAAAAACTTTGAATAGTAAGGGCATGTATTAAAACAGACTGCTAATTTCACTAACCATAATACTCATAGCTGCCTTAGTATGCACGCCTCTGTTTCTGATTGCATCCCGGATTTGCTATTACAATACAGGCCCACATTCAAACATGGCATTTCAGATTTTTTTTTTATTCTGTTATTGTGGTTTTCTCATGGTGTTCTAATGCATTTGTTTTGTTGCTGTTTTAAGCAAGTTAAGGGTTTTAAGTGACTGTAGACCACATTTGAGTATGACAGACTCTGTTCTGAGAGCTTTAAAAAAAGGAAAAGGTGGGATATAAAACTAAAAAAATAAATAAATAAGGTGGGATATCAATCATGTAAATAACCTAAAGTGTGTAGGCTCCCATTTCAAGGATTTTCAGTTTTTAGTTATTCCAATATTTAGTTATTGCCAAGAGAATAGTAAGCGGATGTGGAACAGGACGAGGAGATCTGGGTTCAACTCTCCACTGGTGTGAAGCTCTGTACGGAAGCCAAGCTGACTTCTCACAGTTGCTGCGAGGTTATCAAGAGGCAATCCCAAATACAAGCCCATCTGCCCCCTTGGAAGATAAAATGTGAATGACAGATGCTCATTCGGGGCTCATGTGCATGTCACCTGTGTTTGCATGAAATTAAAACAGTTTCAAAAGCAGCTTCACAGAAGCCATTTCAGTACCTCCAGCTCAAATTGGTTTTAAAATCCTTTCCTCTCCCCATGAGCTCAGGTAGCTGTAATGAAGGGCAGCTGGACATCACAAAGACGTATTGCCATACGATCACGCCTTCCAGGATTCTTTGGGAGAAAAGGCTGGATAAGAAAAAACAAAAGACGGAAGGCACGAGGTAAACCGTCTTGGAAATCCACTGCACTGGGATTCTGCAGCTTATAACCTGTGCTGAGGGGAAGGGAACCTAATCAGACTACCTAGGTACAAAGCCAACCAAGTTCACTTTAGGGAAGTAACCTGATCAGTGTTGGTGGGGGGGCCTCTACTGAACAAGATGACAGGGCTCCCATCATCTCTCCGTATGGTAACACCCTCAGAATAGCCCACGAAGGTGCAGCTGAGGTGAGGACATTTTCCCGTGTCTTGATCCATTAAATCGCATTATTCTTCACCTTCTCAAAAGGAAACATCGGGGAAAACTTGCTTAAGTTTCAACCAGGTTGGGATGATGGACGGACGGACGGACGGACAGACGCACACAGAGACACAAAGTTCAATGGCTCTTGGAGTTTATGAGCTCCGTTTCTCAAATGCTTACCAGTTGTGAAATGTTTCTGCTTCTTGTAACATGTGTTCCCTCTTTTGGTGGAACAGCCCCCCAGATCGGTCCTTCCTTACCACCCAGTCAGAACTAGGGCAATATTCCTGACTTGAACAGGCTTGGCAATGTTGTCAGAGTTAATTGTGACTTGCATCATGGCCTTTCCTTTTTGCGTGATCCCAGCTGGTTGGAGTTGCATGTGATTAGGAGGGGTGGTGCAAAGCAACCCAGGGTGATGCTGTGTCTTCCATTACAGAAAGCAGTCCTCTGTTTGAAGGGGGTCTTCTAGTTGAAGGACTGTCCAGCTTAAGTCTGCTTTAAAAAGAACCATAAAGAGGAAGACCAAGGGACTTAATGTTGCCATAGAACAACACTTGGACAGCAGATGAAGTACAAAGATAGGCCACCTGCTCACTATGGTGTGATTACTGAATTTCTCCCAATTGTAGTCAGCTTTAGTTGTATATCTGAGTATTAAAAAAACAGCAGATCTGAGTCCACTCGTACCCAAATATTCAACACAGCCCTTGAGCAGGGGGGTGGGGTGTTTACTTGATTACAGTGGATTTATAGCTTGCCTTTCTGGACCGGAACTATGGAACAAGCCAAAAGGAAATACAAGATAGGCAGCTCATCATCAGAAGGGACTGAACCAGTCTGAACAATGGCAGAAGCGCTGCTCGTGTGTTGGACACACGCTCTGCCTGCTGGGGTCAAGTCAATGGCACTGCCAGTCTGGAGGGTCATGAGGATTCTTGACTGTACTAACCACAAATGATCACAAAAGCATCATTGCCCAATGGCTCCCTTGGCTATCTGGACACTTAAAAATACTTCTGTGTTGAGAAGGGCCAAACATATAGAAACATCCTTCTGTTGTTTTTTTAAAGGCAACATGCTAAATTACAGGGCCAGGGGCCAAATCTAGCTCTCCCATGTTTCCCAGATGGCTATACTGTCTTTCTTCCAACCACTGCTTGTTTGGTGGTTTCCTGAGTTTTGCAGCTTTTTCCACTGTAAAAGGTCAAAATGCCACTCTTAGGCCATAGTGACTTGTAGTAAAACCTTTGAAGCACAATATGCTGGCAAGTGTGTCTATTTTTAGCAGTACCCTTTTGGTTTCTGCCCCACCCAAACACTGGAATGTCCCCCACACAAGCCAACACACCCGTCTCTCCAAAAAGGAGTGCAGCCCTCGGGCCACACAGGTCTCCATCCTTGCTCTCACCGTATGCCCAGCGCTGCCTCACTTTGCCTACTGGTCGCATCTCACGCTTGCCCCAGAAGGTAAGGGCTGGGTGTGGGCAGGAGGAATCCGGGTATGTGTCAGGCCTCGAGCTTGTGTGAGTCCCTGCGCGGCAGACTGCCTCAGACGCAGCATCTGAGAGAGCGATTATCCTTCCCACGTGCCAATCAGCCGCAGTCATACCACAACTGGCTTGCTCAACACAGAAGAGAGCTTTGCCACCTACAAGCACAACCACCCACAAAAACCATCTTCCATGCTCTCTGCTCGTCGCAGTTCACTTCTGCAGAGCCGAGGGAGGACGACGCTGGGCGGAGGGGAAGAGTGGCCGAAGTTCTCCTTTTCAGCCATCGTCTCCACACCTGCTACCCATCCACATCCATTTGTGGGAACAGAAACACGCCTTTCGGGGCAGTTGAGTCAGGCACCATCCTCCCAACCTGCTCTGCTTTGGCCTGCGCCACACCTGCCTTGTTAGGTGATGCTAGGCTCCAGGATTTCTCCATCTTCTAGGAAGCCACTTGGGCCAAAGGCAAGGCTGTTTTGCCTGCACATTTAGGGTCCTTCTGCTTTAAAAGATGGTCCTCCTGCTTTAAAAAATATCTCAGAGATTTCCAGGATAGCTTAGGATGCTACCTAAGGGAGGTTTAGCCAGAAAAAGATCCAACTCCCAGCATTCTCCAGCCAGTCACTGAGAACTCTCACATTATGCCCCATGTTGACGGGGGAAGGCTGGAATTGGAGGACTTTTTCCTGTCTAAACCTGGAAAGGATCACACCCTTGGTGTGCGGTGAGAATAGCAGTAATTAAAAAAGCAATTGTAGAGTGAGGACTCCGGGGAATTCCACAATGCTGGCCTTCAATGGTGGGGATAGTTATATTTATACTCCACCTATTCCCAGTGATTGGAGTAGCTTTCCATCACAGGTAATGGAAGCTAGAAGATGGACACTGCACGCAAGGCTAGCCCAGTGTTTCAAAAATGCATTTTCAACACAGGGCAAAGGTGTCACGTGGAATTCCCTGACATCGCCAGACATGTCCATCTGGGAAATCACAGCCCTGAAAACCTGCATAGCGTGTCCCGAAGCACTGCCCTCCCAACACGTTACACAACTCCCGTCATCCTCAGCTATTGGCCGTAATAGATGGGGACAATGGAAGTTGTGGCCCAACACATCTGGACAGCTGCGGATCTGGGAGGTTTGTTCTGGCAACTCGTCCTTCTCCTTCATCCTGTCTGTATGTGCATCTCACCAACCGGGAGTGGCCAACTGGGAGGTAAGGTAGGGAGGCAGGTAAGGTAAGGTAGCTAAGATAGGGAGGCAGGTAAGGTAAGGTAGCTAAGATAGGGAGGCAGGTAAGGTAAGGTAAGGTAAGGTAAGGTAAGGTAAGGTAAGGTAGGGAAGAAACTACTGCTGTCTGCCACCTCCTCAAAGGAAAGACTTTAAAATATATGTTTCAAATAAGGAAGCTGCCCTTACGCGTCACCCATTTTTAAGTCCAGAAACCTATGTGGCATTACCTGAAAACCAAAATTACAGTTATGGTTCCACAAGTTGTCACCACCCCATATTTGCTTTTCTTCTATGGAAACCCTACAAGAGTCCATCAAGGAGAAAGGGAAAGGAGGCCTTTTATTATGAAACCAGATTTATTAAACTTGTGTACAGAATTTTTACAGCTTCATCATGTCGATTTTCAAATATGCACGTATTTACAAATATCTGACATAGTGTTATTCGTTTTCCACCTACCAATATATACAGATTTATAGGCAGGTCTGGGGAGATTCTTTAAAAAAAACTGTATCACAGATACAAATATATTAAAGCAATCACAAGAGCTTTAGTGCAATCAAGGTAAAAAAATAAAGTTTCACCTCTAATTCTCTTGATTTTATCAAGTTAGTATTGCCAGGCATAATTCACATTTAAACAGCTCTTTGAAACCTCAGGTTTTTAGGACACACACACACACCACAGCCTCAAATGGCATAACTTGAGTAGTTTACGGGAAGTACAAAGAAGGTGAGGTATACAAAAGTTTTGCAAGAGTGCAATGGCTTCCCCAATGACAAATAGGAGCTGTAGACCTTTTAAGCAAAATCAGCATTTTGAGGTTTGAATCCAGGGCTACACAGGCAAAGGTGAAGCTTTCCTCGGTAGCATACCTCCACCCAATGAACAGAACGGTCTTAAGCATGGGATATTTGTGCTTTGTCAGAAGTCAGTGGGATCCTTTGGCGCACACCAACTTGGCTTTGCAAAGCTACTAGTCCTCAAGAGTCATTGTTGGTCAGGCATGCACGCATTTGTCTGTGGCACATCAACACCCTATGGCGACAACAATGACCGCACCACCACCACCGAGCCAGCAGTCTTCTGGGTAACAAAACCTTCCCTCCGGTTGGGAAATCAGGACAGGCAAGTACTTGTTCACATGGTGAGAATGACGTTCATTACCCTATCCAGGAAGCTGAAGTTTATTCAAGTGTATGAATTAACTGCCACAAATCTGAAATACAGAAACAACCGCAGCCAGAAATGCATGATAATGGAGAAGGGGCCGGGGCAGAGAGGTTTCCAAATTAGGCCTGATGAGTCAAATTGGAAAATGTGGGTATTGTTCATTAGTTTATCAAAAGAGGAGATTGTTTTTCCATTTTTTTCTTTCGTTTTGGTACGAAGGACGATGCAACGCGCCAGAGAACAGAACCCACACAAAGAAAGTCAAACATTTCAGTGTATGTAACGAGACAGGACACATCTTTGTCTCTCAGGTTGAGCTGCTCTGCCCTTGACTACAATCTTTGGGAATCCAGGGACGGAGTGCAAAACCACCAGGAAACAAACCCAGCTGTGCTTAGCATGGAACACTGAAGGGTTGGGAAGAGCCAGTGACAGGGAGGTGTGAGTTTTAAAGCAGGTCACACTATGCTCTCGTCTTAACCAGAACTGTCCCTCTGGCCTTATGCAGGAGCGCTTTCACAGAAGGAACCAAACATGGGCCCGAGTTGCACCCAATGTTCACCTAAGACCCATTCATTCCAATGGATGCATTCCAAAGAAGCCTGATAAAGAATGCCACACATGGATCCCATGGACACAGGGGAATGCAACCATGTGGTCAGCAGAGACAACAGCCCTCCAGATGTTTTGGATATCAACTCCCATCGATTTCCCAATGGTTAGGCATCCTGGGAGTTGCAGTCCAAATATCAGAAAGGCAGCAGGCTGAGGAAGGCTGGACTAGAATGCTGAATCTGGAAGTGCTTGTCTTGGGGGAGAAAGGCAGTTAAGCAAACCTTGAAAAGACACTGCCTCCTTTCATTTCTGTATCCTATCTGGAGATGCAGGGTGGCCTGCCTTCTAAAGCCATGCAAAAATAGCAGCGCTGGCATCTCATTTGCAGGTCACACCATATGCATCGGCTTTCCTGCAGAGACGAGCCAGGAGCCGGGGGCAGGAGAGTCACCTGTGCAATCAACAGCATGCATCGTCCGTCAGCAATTCCATTTACATGTCATCTTAGGATACATACGTGAAAGGGGAGGGGGGCAGGAGGAGTCCTCGGCGGCCAAGTGAAATGAGAGATTCGAAAACAGCCGCTCACCAGAGGAACGCCAGCACCAGCTACGGGAACCTGGATCAAATGCACTCTGAACTGTGACACAGAAAAACTGCAGGCCGGAATCTCACAGCTATGCAGACATGTGCTTTGCACCGATCCATCAAGGCGTTTACAGTCCCACTCGCATTGCATGGATGTGATTTCTGCAGGCCCAAGAAGGACGTGGGGATGAAGCTGGTTCTCTCAGTGAACCCCCAGAAAAGCTGAATTGTTTCAGTGGGGCTGAACATCCTGCTGAATAACTTAAAACTACACTGCAATTTTACCACTGCGGCTGGGAGCCACTTCCAATGACAGATTTGGCATTTGTGAAATTCTCCAAATTTGATGGATCAGCCCCGAATCCTCCGTTGGCCTCCAAGTGACTACCAGTTCATTCAGATGAAAGCTCGTTTAATTTCTACTGCCCATATAGCCGGACATGCAATCTGCATCATGCACAACACTGTTAAGAGGAAGGCCAAGGCCTAAAACCAATGCAGCTCTGCTGATCACCTGAGCTGGAGAACAGTCTTCAGGCTGGATCATTTAACCAGGAAATTCAGTTCTTACAAATGCAGCAACAGCTAAATATTCCAGGTTAACCCAAAGTGATTTCAAGCTGACTGCGCAAACACAGCCAAGAAAGCCATCGAGAACTGCAGGCTGAAGGGTGCAATGCCCACAGATGCAGCGATTCAGCTAGAAATCAAATGTAAGAGCTGAGCTTTTAACAGACAATCCCACTAATTTAGCACACACCCCATCTGGCATTGGAAGAACTGTGACTTGCTCTCTTACATCACCAACAGTGCCTAAGCCAGAGGTTCTGTCATTTTATGATGTATGAGATACACAAAAGAATGCAGCTGCCTCTTTCTCCATGTGTTCCCAACTGGAGCACCAGATGAGTCTCCTGGAGCTCAACAGGGAATCCCCTGGATTAATAAGGCCATGACTTGCAATCTTTCTGTAAGTCTCCCTGGAGAGGGGAGAAACAAATGGGACCACCGCCTGAGCTCAGCGAGAGTGTGGAAAGGGAACATTTACAACACAGAAAATGAGCAACATAAACACACACACATGCTTAAGGGCTGTATGAAGTGTGAGGTCTCTTGACCCAAAGCAAAACAACAAAACAACACCAGAGTTAGCAAAAGAAGGAGCTCATATCATTGTCCTCCTGCAACTTTTCCGGAACGACTTGATCAGAGGTTCGTACGTCCTGGTCTGCATACCCGGACTCCAAGACAGCATCAAACCAAGGATGGAGCAAGATTTCTGGAGCGGTGAGTCTCTCGGAGGGCTCTCGCCTGAGCAAGCTACGGATGAGGCACCGCGCTTTGGGAGAGACATGATCAGGGATGCAGAACTGTCCGCGTCGGATTTTCGAAAAGAGGGCAGTAGGGTCCGAGTCATGGAAAGGGTAGCGTCCTACAAGGAGGGTGTACAGCATGACACCTAAGCTCCACACGTCTGCCGACTTCCCAGAATAGGTCCCCGTTGTGTTTAGGATTTCTGGACTGACATAGGCAGGACAGCCATGCTTGTCCGACAGGGCATCGTCCTCCCCTTTGATGATGTGAGTGTCTTCCAAGCTTTCTAGTCTCAGCTGCATCCTGGAGAAAACAAGAGGCCAGACATATTAGTTAGCACGCCTTGCCAGAAGGCAGCATAGAGAAATACATTTACCAAAAGTCCCAGGGAAAGTCCAAGGCAGAAGCCAAAGCGGAAGACCAAATATGAGATGGACCGACTCCATCCAGGAAATTTGCTCAGCTCTTGAATTTGCGAGAGCTGAGCAGGGCTGTCAAGGACAGGACGTTCTGAAGGACATCCACTCGTAGGGTTGCCATACTTGTAAGTCAGAGGCAAGTTGGTGGCACACAGCAACAAGAGCTCCTCCAGACTTGCCCAAATGATGCCAGCAAGAACCAAAACAGTAGTGGGAATGGAAGGGTCGGCACAGACCGTGCAGAGCTTTTACACACAGGTCATCTGTGCGCATCGTCACACAACGCAGCTCATTTGAGGACTGGTTCACATGCAGACATACAGGTTCATCTCCAGTAACTGCAGCTTTCTACACATGACTGCAGCTTTCACATACTGAACCAGGAGTCACCAAGTGACAAGAGATCAAGCAATGCACCTGGGGGAGCTGGCAAAAAGTCGACACTCTCAATTCAATGAGCCAGCTCCCGGGAAGAGCTGTGAATACTGCCCTGTCGGCTTTGGGCACATCTCGCATATGAAGCTGCGGTGCATCTCTCTGGCCAAGACTATTCCAGAGCAAGACTACAGTTGCCTGCTCCCAGGCACTTAGCGTTGTTCACAGTCCTTGAATAGCAGCAACATCTTGGAGGGGCTTACAAGGGTGAAGAAACCATGGCAGATCCAATTGCACACTACTGCTGACATAAATGACACTGCACTAGCATTGCTGACCTCTTATCGAACACCAGTTGTTTTCCAAGGAATCCCATCATGCCAGCAAATACTATTAGCGTCGCACTGCAGGCCGCTTCTGCAAGCACCACGTACATTAATGGCAGGGTCGAACAGGAGGAAGTTCATAACACCAAGCACACACACTGTTCACTGATTCCATTCACACATCCATACTTTGAAAGCCATCAATTAAGCCAAAGTCAAGCAATCCGCAGGAATGCATTTGACAGTCACCCTCAAGACTCCAGAGCTGCCCAGCCAAATTCGCAGGGCAAACATCTTGGACAGAAGCCAGCTGTGCCCGAGTGACGTCAAGATTTAACTGGCTCGTGGATCGTGGCCAAAACCCACATCCCTTTTGTTCCTGAAATAGTCATAACTTTTTAATACTGATACACAACCCCCACGCAAACTGGCCCGGCAGGTTACAGGGCTTTTCTGCAAACATCCTATTCCCAGCACCTTACGCTACTGAATGGTTGTTTTTACATTCGCCGATTAGATATTCCAGCTTGCTGCCTTTCCTACTTGATTTTACAAGCGTTGTTGGCTTGTAAAATGCATTGATTGGTTGTTGTCCTCAGGGTGACCTTCCTGTCCTAACATGAGATCCCCCCACCCACTGCCCCGACACACACTGCTTGGTTCTGTAAATGGAAAATATGACTCAATCTACCCTGACGGGGCATCCAAACTCTGCACCTGTGCTTGCTAGGCTGAAGCCTTGCCTGGCATTGCTTAACCCTCTGGTTACCAAACACAAGGCATATGACAAGCTGTGCAAGGAGGCTGCGTTTCCACCGAGTGCAATCTGCTATTTCAGCAAGAGGTTTGGTTTGTCAGAGTCGGGGAGAAGAGGCCATTGCTGTTTTTATCGGTCAAGGTGTCCTTCCTGCTCTATTAGCAATTTAAAAAAATATATGCTGGAGGAAAGGAAGAAAGGGGGAACAACTTTTTCACTACAAGCTCCAACCCAGATTTTTCCTGACATGGGGAATGATCACATATGCATGTCCATTACTTGATCACAGTGATGGAAGGGGAGAGCACCTGCTTTGCAAACAGATTCAACCCGCAGCTTCTCCAGGTGGGGCTAGGAAAACCTCCTGCCTGAAATGCCGGAGAGCTGCTGCCAGTCCGTACCAGCAGTATTGGGCTAGATGGACCAAGCGTCCAGCTCAGCAGAAGAGAACTTCCTGGGCTCCCTGCCCTGAGTGCCAAATGAATCCTTTCTGAAAATGTCTTTGCTGAGGAAATGTTGGCTCTACAGCCCCTCTGGGTGACAAAGGAAGTTCTATTTGTGATGCAGTATCATGAAAGTCACTGGAATCATTCCATAACTTTCCATAACCTTCAGCCACTGCACACAAGAAAATAAAGACTTTTCTGTCCGCCATCCTTAAATCACAAGCTGCTATTTGTTTTCACAAGAGACTCTCTCTCAATCCACTCTGCATACCAGCTTTCTCCAAGCTGGTGACAATCACAACTAGACAATCACAACTTCCGCAATTCGCCAGCCAAGTAGGATGGCGCACACCATCTGCACACACTACCTGGGGCAAATACCCCCTGGTGCCACCTCAACCCCTTCTGTTCCTTGGCAGAGCCCTGTGCTCTTCTCCCTTCCCCCCAGTTTTTATGACTGCAGCTGGTCTTAAAAAAGACAAGTCAAAATGATCCGATCACACCTGTTTGCTTTCATGCCTTGTTAAAATTTAGCCTGCTGCGCTTTCTTTAGCACAAAAGAAAAATTAGAATTATACATAAGAATGTATGTACAATTACATCAACCCAACAGTCCATCCAGCTCACAATTCAGGGCTCTCGGCCTCTCTCTATGATTTTCTCCTTCCTAACCCTGCAGTTAGGGGTGGAGTGGGGACTTCATTAAGTACAGGAAATGCGTGGAACTTGGTACCCTGGCGGTGATGGGAGATGGAACGCCACACAGCCTACCAAACCAGCTCTCTCCTGCCTCTCTTAGTCTGACCTCAAACTTCAGAATTCCCGGCTAGGCTAGTGCTTAGGAATGGATTTGCCAGTTTGCCTCGGGCTAGCTACTGTGCAGGCCCAAAAGCAGGTGAGAGAACTGAGAATCTATGCTGAGAACAACCAGCTTGTGGATGGAAAGCAGAACCCCAAGTTCTATACAGTAAGCCACTTGTCCCGAGAAGAAATCACTGGAATAAAGGATCAGCCAGTTTGAAAGTCAGGCACACTCAGACGAAGGCTGCAGTCGGCAAACAGACTCCCCACGATCCAAGGCCACGATGGCATCACTTCAGAGCAATGCCTGGATTGCAGAGCTTGACTGTGAAATTGTTTCCGTTGATGTCAAAAGCAGAACTCCCACAGAGTTCAAACAGGATGAATTTTCACACCTATTAAGGGATGCCCAGATGTCACCCAGCTATAGCTATCTTCAAGGACTGAGTTTTCCAAAATCTGCTCTAACACTTCAGTAACTTTTTCCTCTGCACTGAAAGGCACAACAACCAACAACTTCCCATAGATCAAGCAGTGCGATTCCAACCACTTTTTGGTCCAGTGTACACATGAGATCAGGGCTGGACATCTTGACAAGCCCCACAACTCCCTTTCACTCCAACACACATTCCCTTTCCAGAAATGTGGACTCACATCTAATAATATCCCACCTTCTTTTTCAAGGAACTCAGTGCAGTTTATCAAATTCCCCTCCTCTTTTCAATCTTATCCCCACAACAACAACCCTGTGAGGTAGGTTGGGCTGAGTGTCTGTGACTGGCCAAAAGTCACCCAGTTGGCTCCATGGCCAAGTGGGAACTAGAACCTAGATCTAGTCCAGTTCCATGCTTTTAACCATTACACCACTGTGGCTTTCATCCATTATGTTTTCCCAGGCACTAACCACCTCAAGCCAAGATTAGTGTTAATCATGGTTAATGTTAACCACAGTTCCTGTTACTGGGATCGAAACTGACACCCTGTGAGTGCTGGAACTGCCGTGAGTAATGAAATGGCAAGCACACAGATGGTTCGTGGCACATGCTGCAGGTCATAACAACACCCACTCAGCTCCACCATCCTACTGATTGCACGCCCTGTATGGGTTTCAGACAGGCTTCCCTTGCCTACCCTTTCCTCTGGTTTCTCTTTCCCCAGCCTCCATCAATGCCAGGTTCCTAACAATATTCTTGTTCAGTGGTGCCCAAATATTAGTCCCTCAAACAGATGACACTTAGGGTTGGGTGCCAGACAGCAAACTGCATAATCAGACGGAAGCCACACAGGTAGAGTGCAATCCACAAACCAGTTATGCTACTCTTCTTGTCCTAGAGTGGATTAACCCTCCCGTCCAATTCAAGAGAGGGGAAGAGTTTCAGAGTTAAAACGATCCCGCCCCAGCCCAGGGGTGGGACTCCATTCATTTAAACCCAAGGATTTCCCCTGATAATCTAGCTTTCAATCCTTTTCCATCTTAAACTTCTTTATGTCCAAGTACAGAACCAAAATGAGCCACTTGTATGTAGCAACCAGCTTATATATGAGTATCAGAAAAAATACACAAATCCACGGCTTGTAAACTTGTGGCAAAGCAGAAGCACAGACCTTTTTGCCTACAGTACCTTCTGCAAATTAAACACACAGAAATGCCCCTAAAGGTGTAATAATTCTATGCACATGTAGACAGAAAAAAGTCCTAAATCTCCCATCCTGGCTGGGGCATCTTGAAGATGCAGGCTCTTTTTTCTTCCTAAATACATACAGGGGGATTCCTGGACTGGCTTAAAGAGGCCTGTGTAAAGTTAGAAGTCCCCAGACTTGCCTTTTAGCAGCCTAGATGTTTTCTAAGGAAGAAGGGAAGGAAGCGATAATCATGGACTTCCCGTAGAGAAGGTAGCCCAAGGAGAATATCCGGCAAGGGACCAAGCTCCAAAGAATTGCCCAGTTAGTTCAGTGTACCCCAGGAAGGCTTTGGACACAGACGAAGGAGGACTGTCAAAGCAGCTTGTATATGACATGGGCATTGCTCAAGTCAAATGTCCCACCAGAAACATGGACATTCTTGCAAATAGTCAACAGATAATGCAGCTATTACAATAGAGTGGAGAACACACTGGGTCTTGAACCAGGAAATCCCAAGTTCAAATCTCGTGCTGGCTGTAAACACAGCAGGCTTCCATACATCCTTCCACCCACCCACCTGCAATTGTACTTCTGATGTCAGAGTGCAGGGGTGCCGAGGGATTACTGCAATGTGTGTGCGCGCAGAACGCGTGTTAGCCAAGTATTATTTGACCTGTGCAGACCGGGATAAACAACAAGCATGATGCAAACTCAATTTACACCGCAACCAGCATTCCCTAATGGTCCACACTTGAGGTCTGTTGCTTTTTCTCTTTTAAAGGGGCATGTCTGCCAGCACAGATCACTGGTATCGAATGGACACGGCCGGTGAGGACAAGCGCAGTTCATGCCCCAGATCTGGCCTAGAAGCCACAAGGCTGGGGAAGGCAGTTTTTGGCTAAAACTCCCAGGATTCCTGGCCACTGTCCATGCTGGCTTCCCATGAAGGGCACTGAAGTCCAAAAGAATGGGAAGGCAGCAGGTTGAGGGAAGTCTGTTAGTGATTCTCTCTTCCCACCCCCACTTCAAAGCAGAGAAAAAATGCACCCCCTGCTCACCTTTCCTCACTGGAAAACACGAACTTCCTGAGTTTGAGGTCGCCCAGTACGATGGCTGACTGGTGGCAATGAGCTACCGCAGAGACGATCTGCTTGAAGAGCCGGGCAGCCTCTTGCTCGGGCAGACGCTTACAGCTCCTGACGTAGGAATGCATGTTGCCAAAGTCCCTGTCGAAGAAGACGTAGGCCTTGGTGTCCCCGAGAATCACTTCCGCAATGCCAGTGATGTTCCTGTGGGATGGCAGCTGGATGTACGGCCGGATTTTGTCCTGGTAGTGTTGCAGGGGGAAGACCTGGAGAGGGGGCCAAAGGAAGGAGAGTCAGGATTGAACCGAAGGGTTTTACAGCAGGGGGGGAAGTGGCAGAAACGGCCCAGAAAGGCTGAGTGCTGACAAACAGGTTTAAATTAAGTCATCCAATGTGTGAAGGGACTGGGATGCAGGAGATCCAGGTTGTAGTCCTCACTCAGTCATGACGCTCTCTGGGCCAGATCACTGACTCTCAGCCTAACCTGCCTCACAGGGTTGTTGTTGGGAGGATAAAACGGAGAGGAAAGAGCCCTGCAAGCTGCTTTGGGTTCCTTGTAAGAGGAAGAAAGGCAGCGTAAAAACGTAATGTGATGATGATCTTATGCATCCTCATACAGAAGTAAGGCTCATCTATTAAAAATACAACCCAGGTAAGTGGGGACACACTTCAAGGAAGGAGAACTAAAGCTGCAGCAAAAGAGTACGATTCTAGTTGAACAGGGGCAAATCACGTTAAGAAAGATCACACACTTTCTGAATAGCGCCTTTTGAAAAAGCAAACAGAATTATATTTCCATGCACCGTATTCCATGCACCGTATGGAGCAGGTGCATGGAAAATAGCAAACCTATCAGCAGCTGTGAGCCAGAAAAGCTGCAGTGAACTTACACAGCTAGGAGCAGCAGGCTGAGAAATCAGAAAGGTCTTCATGCCCGGATTGTGACCGACCAGAGCTGGCTTCCCAGACCTGGTACTTCCAAGATGTTTTACACTGTAATTCCCAGGATTTCTGAGCACTGACCATGTCAGCAAGGGCTGATAGGAGTTGAAATTCAAGGCAACGGGGGGGGGGGGGGGCACCAGGCACGGGATGGCAGAACCAGAGCCATCAATCAGCTACTGATGGAATCGGAATGTTGAACTAATCAGACTTTGGCCTAATCCAGCAAAGCAAGTCTCAAGGGCAACATTATAGTTTCTCATTATATTTTCATTGCTGTCACATCAACAACACGCCCTTTTGTTCTATGTCAGCCTCACATTTCTGGCAGCCCCTAGTTTCACATTCACCAATTATTATACCAAGAGAGACTCCCACTGCATCCTCAGCTGAGGATGATGGGAGCTGAAATGGATCAAAACTGGCAGGCATAGGATTGGGGAAGCCTAGCCTCAACAGAGCTGGGGGGGGCTCACCCTCTAAGCCCCCCCCCACCCCAGAAATGCATTGCCGGAGTGTTGCATAAAAGACGGTTGCAAAGTCCCTGCCAGCACCTGGTTAATACTTCACTCCACTAGAATACAGCAGGAAAAGGCAGCGAGAAATCATAAAGCGTTCACCTTCCGAATGATCTAAGGTGATGATTCAGACAAAGGTGCTAGTGATGACACTGGGATTTCAGGGCATGCCAACCCTCCCAGCCAAGGAAGAAGAGGCTTAAAGCCTCCAAAGTTTTATTCACAGGTATTTTGCAAGACTGCAGTCATGCTCCACCAGGCTGTCTGCTTGGTTACTCACATCTGGGGCCTGACTGGAAACGGCCACCTACAGACCCTGTCATGCTTCCCATTCATCCAACAGGGCAACACTCACACAGAGGAAAACATATGGCAACTCTTCTCCCTTTTCCTCCCCCACTGACACACCAACACGTATGCATTCTACCTCTCTCCTTTCAGGTTGTGACTGTCCTTTTAATGCCTCCACTGAGAAGCAGCCTTGCAAAAATAGGGCCTACGTAAGTTACTAGGTCACCGCCACAGCAAAAGCAAACTAGTCTTCACCAGTCATTTGGAAGTACATTGGTGGCCTAGAAAAACTATTTCAATAGAGTGAATCTTCCCAGGAAGAGAGAAGGTTGGTTCTCACCACAAGTGACCATATGTAGGGTCACATGCAAGCTTGAATTCAAGATCCATACAGCCCTCTCTCTCAAGGGAAAGGTCCCAGTTTGTCTAGATTTGCTGGAAGTAAACAAATGCAGAGCCAGCAAGTAACTACTGACATGGGCATGTAATATGTTAATCTATCTTCCGCATAACCTCTCATTTCCCAACCCTACTGTAACTAAACCTAAATAAGTCTAACTAGAAAACCTATTTTCCTTCCTCATTTACCCTCTATCACTTTCCCGCTCCTACATCTCTTGCCTATCCAGAGTTTAATTTTAGACTGTATGCTCATGGGGGGGGGGTCGTTTTTTGTAAAGGACACAGTACCCTGGCCGCCCTTGCCATCACAAACAACCATAAACCCCTACACTTGAAGAAAGAGAACCGTGCATTTCAAGAGATGGCCTCCATCAGTCGTCAAACTGGCACCTTCCAGATGTTTGGGGTTACTGATCCCAGTTCTTTACCATAGAACATGATGGGAGTTGTAGGCCTTATTTTCTGTATTGCACCTTGAGCTGCTCCCCCTGCCCCAAAGGAGGATCCTCTCACAAGCTCCAGGTTCCGTATCTACTAAGTGCTGCAATCCATGATTTACTCCAGTTGACATTAATGGGTCCCCTGCAGCAGAGCAAAGCCAGGATTGCAGTCAAGGGTTCCGGAACAGGTCACGAGGAGGGCTGCAGCCAGCAGGGGGCAGCAGTCATCCCAAAGAGACAGGAGGCAAGTCAGGGACAAGTATGTGTGCGTGTTTTATTTAAAGAGCTGAGGACACCTCATGGAAAACTTGGAAAGCTATGTCAGTCGCAGCCAATTCCTACTTGCGTACTATATTCTGCAGGAGGGGAGCGGAAAACAGAGGAGGATGACGGACGAGAAACTTAACCCCTTTGTTAACCGGGGAGCTTTCCAGATGGATTTAAAAACAAAAACACTAAAATTCGAGCCTGGTTTCTTTAGGCGCCTGCTCCTCGTGTGTCGGCCAAAGAAACACGATCTTCTTTTACAAGCCTAAGGTTGCAACTTCTGCCGGCTCAGCAGAACCATGCCTCAACGAGGTTAAGAAATACTCTTCCAACCCACACGCATGCTTTGCAGCCTTTTTCTGGGGATCAACATTAACTTAATCCAGTGGTCACAATCCAGATCCCCTTCGCAAGCCGAACGTGTTTGCAAAGCACGAAGCCCCAATTCAGTACAGAGTCTTGCTCCTAAATCACTGGAATTTGCAGCCTTTTGAATCAGCTGCACTCAAAAAGTGTAGACGCTTTGGAGATTGGTTGCGGCCCGTGACGGACAAATCCCTGGGACACGTTCTTGCACCTCCCCAGAACCAACCCCGCACGAGGGTCCCGATCCATGCAACCGTTAAGCCGGAGGAAGAGACACAGAAAGACCTGGCTGCGTCATTTAATTCTGAATCATGAGCCAGGAAGCTCTGAGCAACCGATTCGGCTACGATCTAAATGCCGGATATTCGAGCTGCTAATTACTCACGCTTTACACAAGGTAGAGAAGTTCCACTTAAGTTTAAGAAAGGAAGCTTTCTTCCGAGCGTAAGCGCCACAGCGTCTGGGACCTAAGGCCGCCAACCCGACCCTCCCAGACGCAAATCAGGCTCTCCCGTTAATTCAATTCTCAGCGGCTTAAGTGGCTCGGGGATCGCAGGGACCGCGGGCGCCCGCCGAAAAGCCCCACCGCGCAGCAGCAGCTCTCCCTGTGGCGCTTACCTTGCAGCGCAGCTCCCGGCCCGTGTTAATGTCGAGCGCCCGAGAAACGTGCTCCCTGTCGGGCAAGGGCAACAAAAGATAGCCGGCGATGAGGCTGGGCCCCTGCGCGCTGCTAGCGCCGGGGCTGGACGCCGAGCCGGCTCCGGGGGCCGGAGAGACGAGGGCGCAGGGCGAGCCCGGCGCGCTGAGGCAGTCCTGGGGCGCCGCGCTCGAGCAATCGACGGCGAGGCGGGCGCACTTGGCGGCGGAGGGCGCTTCCTCGGCGCCGGGGCCGTCGTGCACCAGGAAGCGCTTGGAAGGGGCGCCCCGGCAGCGAGGGCCGCCGGCGGCTCCCGGCGGGTGCAGGAGCGCGGCGGGGCTGCGGGGCTCGAGCTGGCGGCTCATGGAGCTGGGAGAAAGGCGGGCGAGCAAGTGCGATCTCGGGCTCGCGGCGCGCACGAAGCCGGACGGGCGCCGGCTCGGGAACAACGGCAGGCGGTGGCCAAGCGGCTCTGCCTTTGTTCTTTGCCGGCGGATTCACGCGGCGGCGGCGGCGGCCTCCTCCGCGGCGGCGCTTAGAGGTAACCTCCAGGGAAGGCGGGCGAGGGTTGTGCAATGCCGTCCAGGCTAGCGCGCATCCCCCCGCGCCTCTCGACGAAGAGCGCCGGCCCGCAGCTGCAAGCGCCCAGCTCCGCGCTCACCATCTGCCGGCGCTCCGGCCAAACTCCCGGGAGCACACCGAAGTTCCCCGTGACGCAAGGGGAAGTGGGCGGGCGGCGCGGGCCGAGGCGCTCGCTCATTGGCGGCGGTCACCCCATTCAGAAGTGGCTCGGGCGAGGGAGCGCGTGCGCGGGGCGCTCGCCTTGGAACGGCGCTTGTGCCGGGGGCGCTTCGGATGCGTTGGCAGCCCCGCGCAGCTGCTGGATGCTTGGGATAATTAAAGAAAGCCGCTTTCCCCATATGTATGAATTTGAACGCTGCCTTTCTTCCTGCAGGGAACCCCAGGCGGCTTGCTTGCTTATTTATTTATTTATTTATTTATTTATTTATTTATTTGGGGTATTTTTAGGCCGTCCAATCGCACTGAGTCTCTGGAAGGCTCAGCAAAATCAATAAATACAACAATAAAAATATAAATGCCATCATTTATTATAAAATCTGCTTCATCTCCGGGTTATCTTCACAACAACCCTGCCAAGTAGGGTAAGCCGAAAGTCTGTGTCTGGCTCAAAGTCATCCAGGGGGGCTCGAACCCGGATCTCCTGAGTCCTAGTCTATCACTCACACTACAGTGCTTCTTACTGATGGCCTCCAGGTGTGCTGAACTACAAAACCCATCATGCTTTCCCCACAGAGGTGGCAGGAAATATATAAGAATGGTGTACAGGTGTTAGGAGAAGCAAAAAACATTTCCTGGAAGGTGGAGAAAGTTTTGTCCCACAGCTCAGGTTTCTGAAAAAGAAATTTCAGTAGAGTTTATTTTGGTACTCCCCTCCAAAACAGCTTCTCCCTCTGACTTAAGGCCTATTCATGAAATGTGCTAGTGAGCCCACACCGAATCTGGTCCTGTTTTTAATTTCCAGTTTAGATTCACTCATAATGTATATCCCTAAGCTGCCGTGTCCTCTGAGTGCATTAGACTACAACTCCCATCACTCCACCCCACAGGGTCATTGGGAACAGGAGCCTGGAGCTGATGAACCTTGAGGCGATCTGGCTAGGCTCCCTTCCCATCTGTTTCTGCAGCTATAGAAAAAAAAAACAGAAGAACAGTAAGGAAATGCAGAAGATGGCCATGTGGTCCCCCACCCCGTACGATTCCATGCATGCAGCCGGGCAATGGCCAACGGTTCAGTTTGAACTGGCCCTTGTGGCCAAAGTCCAGGGCTCCTGGGGCCCACAGGTGAGGCCAAATGTCCACCACGTCGCAAACAGGTCCACTGTCAGGGACTGGACTAGGGCAGGCACAGCTTAGCAGCAGTTGGCGCATCCAAACAGGCAATTTCCATTTGTCGCTCTAACATATTGGGAATGTAGAAGCCGGGATGAACCTACGGTCTAGCAGGCGAGAGGAAGAAAAAGCTCACTTGTATGGTTCACCACTGAAGGATCCCATTGGGCCACTAAAGCTGCTTCCCGCCTGCCCCAGCCAGATGTAGGACAGGCTTCCGCCTGAGCATGCATAGGATCGCAGCCTAAGCGCAAGCTGTTTATTTACCCAGTTGCGCCGCTGGCGACGGTGCCGCCTGGAAGCTCCCTGCAAGAACCGCTGTCGGCTGTGCACGTGTGCCTGGCCTCTTGTGCAGGCCCACATGCTTGGCCAGCGCATTCAGCAGGCCACGGGCTTGGGCAAGACACGACGTGGGCAAAAAATGGGTCGGTGGCAAGTCCTGGGCACCCCGCTTGCATGTGTGCAGTTGTGTGTGCTGCAGCTCTGCCTGGATGCAGCACGGTGGGTCTGCATTGCTAAAGTGCATTCAAAAGCGGTCGCTGCAGCCTTGCGATGTATCCCCCGTGCCGCTTGCCGAGGGCAGAGCATCGTTTAGATGCTTCTCTTGCTTGTGACGCAGGTTGCTGCAGAAAACTCTTGCACGGCACGTAGGAGAGCAGCAGGCGTGCGACACTGCAGAGTTGGGTCGAGGGGGTTGTTTTGTTGGTACCGGTGGGTCTGCATGGCCTGAGGCACTCCAAGCCATGTGGGTTGCTTTAGCTGGGCAGGTTGCTTGCTGTGCACGCCTGGTTTACAGAGACTGGTTTTTCAAGGGGTGCAGAACGCCAAAGACTGGAAAGGACCGTTAAGAGACAGCAAGAAAACCCTCTTGAAATATCTCCAGGGATGCTGTGAGACCAGGGCTCATGGGGCTAAAGCACTTCACCAGGGTCCCCTTTTCCAGAGTCACAGCATAGGGGAGAGTTAACCCACCTGCAATGCCCCTTGGAAATTGTCCTCTGCATGGCAATTAAGCTGCGTGGGAGAAAACCTTCCATTGTCACCAGTGGGCCCATACTCGGGGCGCTGGGAAAATGATCCTGATGAAACTCTGGGGAAAGAGAGGGAAGGAGACTGGGAACCCTGTGGGAAGTGGTATAAGCAGTTGGCGGTGACCACTTCCTCTCGCTGGCATGCTTCTTTTCCGCCTCAGGCACACGCTTGTGTCCCCCGAGAGGCAGCTGGTGCTGTTCTTTCTAAGCCAGCTGTGAGGGGGGTCAGGCGCTTGGCCTTCTGAGTCCCAGCTTTGAAGTTGTCCTCTGAATCATCCTCCCGCATCCCCAGGCAACTTCAGGAGCCTGCAGGATTGCATCCGTAGTGTATTTTGTTATATGGAGTCATGCTTTGAATGTTCTTTATGTGGCGTGTTTTATATAAGTTGCTAGCCACCACAGGCAATTTGTTGGGAAAGGCAGAATCTTAACAAACAAAAACCCTGAGATGATCCTTGAATCATTCAGAACTGAATGATTTGCAAACCACCCAGAATTGCTAACATGAGCGAGGCAGTTGGACCCAATCCATCTCAACTCGAGAGGGCTCAGCCAGCCATAGCCAGCACAGGAAGAAGCAAAAACACAACCTCCTTTGTTTATCGGTACACGCACACACCATCTTCTGCCGCGTTGAGGCTTGGATAGCGAGCGATCGGCAGGGCGAATCATCTGCTCGGCTGCAAGTTCAGTTAGCACAGCTGCGATGGCGCAATCCGGCAGTGCCATCTGGCAGCACTGGAGGCAGGTTTACTGCTTGAGGTCACCCTGGCAGGATCTGCACTTCACAAATACAGGTATCCGTAGAGATCTCGAAAAGAATAAATTAACCACACAGCAATGACCTGCATGCCATCAGCTACTTTCAGTGTATTTTAAGAAGCACATGAAACTCCTTGTGCTTGATGACTCATAACATATCGGTCCCATTAAGCCTCTGAACATAAAAGCTCTGTGTAGTTCAAGAGGGATATCCCAGGAGTTCCATTTGCTGCTTTCCTGCATGACGGGGGGGAAGGGGGGTCTGCAAATGATAAGCCCACAACTCAAGATGCAGTATTCAGAGGCAGGAGCCCTTCTTCCTCCTAACTCAGCAACTGCATTTTTAAAAGCACACAAGTGACGTTAGGCTCTCGATTTCACTGGTAATCCTGCCTCTGGAGTGGAAGACTTCAGGCTGCAGACTGGGGGCCACACTGTTAATTGCTATTTAATATAATGAAGTATCTGTGCACAGAATATTGCATGCATCAGGAAGGGCTGCATCCGTACCTTCTTCCTGACATACTTGCGCTCTATGTGTGTGGATTACAAACAAAATACATCAAATGTCCATTTCTCTGTTCCCAGCTGTTGGATGAAACGGTAGAGGCCTCAGGCAAGTCTGCCACCTCAGTGAGTTCTAGCCCCTTGGGTGTGGTAGCTATGCCAGCCAGTCATAGGTACCACACCCTTCCAATAACACTTTTGTTATAGATGCATAAGTTGGCTAGGTTTCACCCTGCAATCTCTCTTGCAGTGCTGTAGCCTGGTGTGGGACCTCCTTCACCTGAAGGGCTGAAATCAATTTTGGAAAAGTGCCAGAGTGCATTCCAGGGGTAGGTGGGGCTGCAGGGCAAAGGGACAGGCCAAAATACCGTATTTTAACCTACAGCTTTTTATACTAAGCTGGATTATGGCAATGGAATTACACCCAGTGGGCAAATTCCATTTCCAAGGAGCTTCCCAGGGCCACATGCCAGTGGTGCACAGGGCCAAAGGCAAATTGTGAGGATATTTTGTTTAAAGCTTTCATGCAAGGGGTCCTCAAACTTTTTCAGGAGGGAGCCAGTTGAAAGGCAGTGGCTACATGCGTGGGCCCGTGAGGAGGGGGGGGCCTGGGCGTGCAGGCCGGTGAGGAGGGGGGTGAGGCGTCAGGTGCGCGCGAGGTGGTGTTGGGCGGGTGCAGTGGCGGCTCGCTCGCTCGCTCATCTCCCAGCGAGTCCAAAACCATCTCCGAGAGAGAACGCCACCGCCTCCGGCCCGTGCTGCAAGACAGCAGTGAGCACATGAGCGCCTGCGCAGGGGAGGCAGGCAGCAGCTTCCTCACTTGGAGATGGTTTTGAACTCGCTGGGAGATCTCCCAACGAGTCCAAAACCATCTCCAAGTGAGCAAGCCACCACCTCCTGCCAGCGTGGCGAGCCCACACACGGGCAGGGGGCGGCGGCACAGGCCAGATGAATGGGCACGGCAGGCCGAATCCATCCCACGAGCCGTAGTTTGAGGACCCATGTTTTATGCCTTAGGAGAGGCATTCCAGCCTCTCAGAATGGGAAGGGAACTGAATTAATGCTGGGAAATCACCCCGCAATCGATGGGAAGAGAAAGGGGGTGTGTCTAGGGGAGAGGGTGTGGCCATCTAGGAATCGCAACAGGCCTACTGGGATCCTCCGTGGGATGGATTCAATAGCCCATCATGCACCGAGTGGCAGCTCAGCATTTTTAAACATTCCTGTCTGAAGAAGGCATTTTCTTGTGTCCCCAAACAGTCCCAGCCTTAAAGGGCATTTTTGGAGATGTCAACTGGAAAGACAGCAAGTCCCCTTTCGGGGGGGCACAGTGCCATTTACTTCTACAACAGGTTACAGTCTGCTCAGCTGATAACACGGTGTAGGCAGATCCTGTCACAGCTTTGCATTATTTTACAGTCGCTATTTGTCACCACA